ACACACACACACACACACACACACACACACACACACACACACACGCCAGTTGGGAGCAAAAACAGGACTTAGGCATGTGTTTATTTCCTCAAGAGAGATTTTCAGTCACATTCTGGGGAATGGAGGTGTCCTGATCAAGCATTCCATGTTGTGTCTCTTCTAGACATTAAAGTACACATGAAAAGAACTTGGGTCCAAAATTACCAGTGTTGGGTGGAAACCTAACCTCCACCATCCACCATCACCAAGCACTTAGATCTCCAATTCTGGCAGCACATTTCTAGCCTCTGCTTGAATTCTCCAGTAGCTCTTCTCTTATGATGCTTCTGAACATCAGGTGGTACTGTGCTTCCTCCCTCTCTCTAGATCAGCCTGAACACCCACAGTCCTCAACCAGTAGTCTCTGCACACAGGAATTCCAACAATGGCCTAGGAGTCCCTCAGCCTAGACATGGAGACTCTACATATACCTACAGCTGTCCTTTGGGACTGCTTGCACCTGGTCCTCCTCCTGCTCATGAATATTCAGCTGGAGATTCTCTCTATGGCTTGAAATCTCTCAGTTCCCAGAATAAATAATGGAATGATATGTGTGTTAACTGTCTATAGTAAGAGATTTTCCACCTTCTTGTCCCATACCCATGTGTCCTGCAGGTCGCAATATGGCTCCAAAGCGAACAATACTATTGGATTTTGAAGACGTTGTTGTAAATGCTGGGATGAAAAGAACAGACATCATCCATCGTAGATGTGATGGTAATGAGATTAATATTTTGCTTATTTCTATTTCCCTCCTATTCATGACTTTCCTGTAAGACAATGACCATACCAACACCACTCTGAGACAACTATCTCTGTTTTTAATAGATTCCTGTGAGCTGTCCAGAGAAATTTAGTGCACGGAGAAGTACCACAGAGTCTGCACAGGACCTTGAATCTGGGACCACTGCACTTATCCTGTCATACTATAAATACAATCCTAGGTGCCAAGAGAAGGCAGACCATACATCCACACCCCATCAAGTCTCAGCTTTCAGTAAAAGTAGTAAATATTTTCTTCTGTATGTGTCACATGTGATCAAATGATGCCTGGATTTGTTTTACTCATGTGTAAGAAGCCAAACATTCCTGAACTTGATCACCAGCACTCATGGGTCCCTATAAATGCATACATGTCATGCATGGCCCTGAGGCCATGGTGCTCAGCTTCGGCAGACAGAACATCTAGAGAGAGAGACAGGATAGGAACATGCATTATGGCTAGTGAGGTTGGGAGAGGGTTATTACAGTCACAGGCAAGCTGGTGTAGGTCAGCTAGTGTGAGTCAGTTTAACAACATTATATTCTGGTGCCTAATGTTGGATTTTTGCCCTGTTGTGAGGGCCATCGAGGAGGTAGCATGGACTCTGTAAATTTGAAATACAGGGCTTGCAGGCAAGGCCTTGACTGTCTCTAGCAATTCGGTAACCTGGGATTGAGGTCACCAGAAGCAGAAAGGTCCAGACACAGAACTCCAGGTACAGAGGAAGTCAAACACAAGCATACTTCTCCTCAAGCCCAGATAAAAAGAAAGGGAAAATTTACCCCATATCTCCACTTCAGTTCCAATAAACAATCTTCTTTTGCACACTACATATCTTTTCTTGGGGAAAGATATTCATATAAAATGCAGAAATCCTCTTTCTGCTGTCTTCCCAAATTCAGGGAAGGAGGTGGTTTACTGTAATGACTCAGGTCCCCCTGGGTTCACCCTCTGCATGTGGTTCCTGAAGGTCAGGCTACTATGACCATGAAACATGTGCAGTGAAGTCAGCCCATCTGGCTCTCGCCCTTGTGTATGCCAGCAATTGACTGTCATATGAATTTGTGAATTAGTGGATTTGTGCCCTGAATAAGGTATAGAAGAGAGGACCTCAGAAGACGCAGTGATAGCTCAGGATGATCATGTCCATGGATCAGGATGAAGGATGAATCCTCTTCATGGAGTCACAGAAAGGGTATCTATTGTGCCTTCCACCTGTCTTACACTGAACTTCTGGGACAGAAAAATAGCAGGGTGCTCCTGAGACCCAGTAAGTCTGGTTTTGTTAATCAACAAACATCTTCTCACATCTGATTATCACATACAAAAGAATGGAGTACAGTTCCACTGAAAAGCAACTAGAGGAACCAAAGAGTAATTTGATTGTATAATGATCAAGGGTGAAGGGGTGTTTACAGGGGCATGACTGACCTATAAGAAGCCACATCACTGAAACAACTCACTGGGGCATGAATGACAAACTATAGACAGCAGTATAGATGGAGCTTTCTTCAGTTAGCCTTTTGTGTATTCCAAGATGAGAACATGTGTAGTTTGTACAGTTACATGCATTGTGGAAGGAGGTCTAGTAGGGATTGGATGGAACCTCACCTGAAGGTGTAAGGACCCACCACAAGCTTATTTGAGGGAACATATATAGACCTGATTTCAATGGTGTTTTGATTATCATAGCTGCTAATAGAAGATGGTTTGTCGTGTAATGCTTGGAAGACCGAGTTCTACAAACAGGCCAGGTCAGGAGTTTACACAGTCACCTACAGTGTGTGAATGTGTTGGGAATCATCATTTCTGTGGATCCCTGGTGACACCATTTCCATGGAAACTCAAATCCCCTCTGTACCATACATCTTGGATAAGACAAGTGATGCTTGACTTTCTTTAGCTATGCAGACCATAAGTGGTAAGAATTACTGGTGTCTGTGATATTTGTGCACACTTGGCCCACTATGAGGCCTTGCTGGCATTGCTCAATCAACAGAGTATAGGATGAGATTTAGACACTTGACACAATGGACTCCATTCAGAGTACTCCAAAAGAGGAGAGTTGGACAGATAACTGTTCCCTGATGGTGTTTATCCTAGCTTAGAAGCAGAAACACATTCAAATAAATAGTGTTATGGTTTTGGGGCTGTGACAACTGCCAGGAGAACATTCCTGGATCAGGGTGTTTTGCAAGTGAGATGGTATTTTGTGGTCATGCCCACAATGACCTCAGGAAATGTGAGGCAGAGTTATTCTTGACTAGAGACCCAAATGTAGAAAGCAGCTCAGAAATCTGGCCACAGGGAACCTTGCTTCTGGGATATGGTAGAGGTGATCTGGGTCTTATTGGCATTAGATATATATTTTGTTTTTATGGGCTTCATGGGAGCTGACCAATTATGGATGCTCCAGCTCACAGTGGATCTTGTTCTAGTGTATTAGAGTTGTGTGTGGGCCCAGAATGTGAGAGTAGTGTTGAGACTCTATAGATTTTATGTAAATTGTTCTGGAATTAATAAAAACTTGGCAATCAGAAATTGAGATATAAACCTGATAAATCTAAGGAACAGCAGAAGAGCGATCAGCTGACCTTACGCTCCATGTTTTAAGTATCCAAATGCCTTAGAAGACTCTCCTCAGCCTTTCCTTTTCTCTTCCTGTTGCTCTCTCTCTCCAACTTCCTCAGTCTTCCAACAAATCTATGGCTAATCTTGGTCAGCCAGTCACTGAATTTATTGGGACAGCAGGATGGAAGTTTGAACAATTATCCCACAACATTTCCTCATTTTTGTCTGAATGAAAGGGAAGTGTTTTAGCTCTAATATAGTAAAATTGTATACAATAAGAACAATTATCAAGTAAAAATACATCCATAATGTCCAGTCCATTAGTATTTGGACAATACAAAGAAAATATTCTGTTATTTATCCTATCTTGGTGAATCCAAAGTTTTGTATCTGAATTACTTTCTATCAAAACTATCAAAACTATGCCTATAACTGTCTGATCTTCAACCCCATCAGAGGCCCAAAAAAGTTATACTATTATCTGATTAAATAGAATGTTGTTGTTGAAATCTAACTTTAAACCATGGTGGTCTGATAGAATACAGGAGGTTATTCCAATTGTTTTGTATCTGTTGAGATTTGCTTTGTGGCCAAGTATGTGGTCGATTTTAGAGAAAGTTTCATGGGGTGCTGAGAAGAAGGTATATTCTTTTTTGTTAGGATGGAATGTTCTATAGATATCTATTAGGTCCAATTGGGTCATGACATCAGTTAAGTCCTTTATTTCTCTGTTAAGTTTCGATTTGGGAGATCTGTCCAGTGGTGAAAGTGGGGTGTTGAGATCTCCCACTATTAATGTGTGGGGTTTTATATGTGGTTTAGGCTTTAGTAATGTTTCTTTTACATATGTGGGTGCCCTTGAGTTTGGGGCATAAATGTTCATAATTGAAACTTCATCTTGGTGGATATTTCCTGTGATGAGTATGTAATGCCCTTCTTGATCTCTTTTGATTGATTTTAGTTTGAAGTCTATTTTGTTGGACGTCAGGATGGCTACACCCGCTTTTTTCTTAAGACCATTTGATTGGAAAGTCTTTTCCCAGCCTTTTATTCTTAGGTAGTGTCTGTCTTTGAATTTGAGATGTGTTTCTTGTACCATAGTACCTTCCTGCTGCACATACCTTTGTACCATTGGAGCTATAATCATCGCTCAGACTCATATGCCAGCCTGAGACAATCTAAAACCTTACTCTTTAGGATTGCTACCCTATGGATTTTTATTTACATGTGTAAGAGTGAGCCTATGTGAATTTCTGTACATCACATGAATTTAAGAGCCTGCAGAGGCCAGAAGATGTCATTGGATTCCCTAGAACTGAAACTACAGGTGGTTGTGAGCCATACTGTGGGTACTGGGAAATAAATCTAGGTCCTCTGCAAGAGCAGCAAGGACACTTAACTGATTGGCCATCTCTCCAGACTTAGCTTATGATTCTGTACCATTGCTGATTCTGTGTACATGTCTGCCTGTGTACATATGTACACACACAGGCTTTCTTGCTTTCTTCCTGTGTTTGACCCATCATTGCTGTGCATATGGGCAGAGGTTAGTACACACCTTGATAAGGAGGTAACACATCTTTAAGGACCTGCTTTGATAGACACACAGTAGGTTCCTACTTTTCTTTTTTTCCAAGATGAATCTAGGGCTCAGCAACCCACCCTGAGCATAAGGTGGATCCCTGACACTGGAGTACAAGACTCTCTAGTTCCAGTGTCCTCATCTGTGTCAATGAACATATTAGTCAGATAGATGACAACACAGTGTATTTAGGAGTGCTCTATTCCTGCTCTACTCACTCTCAGGGGCTCGTGATATTAGAGTCTGTACCCTTTACTCAGACTCATGTTCTTGCCAGGAGAAAGATGCAAGGTGGTTGCTTGGGGCAGTAGCCCTTACCATCACCCTCTGGTCCATGAGCATCCTTTAAAATCTTTCAACACTGATGACATTTTATTTGTGCCACTGCAGACCTGGCCATAGTGAATGGGCAGCAAGGGACTGGGCAGTCCTTACCAAGTTATCCAAACATCCTGGACTGATTAATATGAAGGACAGCTGAGTTGGACCCCAGCACAGCCTTCGTAGAATGTTGGATGTCCTGTTGGACATCTTTGACTGCAGACCAAAAGTTCCTGATCCTCAGCCTTATCATTATTGCTGTCCTGCAGATCAGTCTTTCCTGAGATTGGAAGATATCTTAGTCAGTGTTCTATTGCTGTGAAGAGACACAGTGCCTATGGAAATTCTTATAAAAGAAAGCATTCAGTTGGGGCTGGCTTAAAGTTTCAGAGGTTTAATCCATTGGCTTTGTGGTGGGAAACATAGAAACTTGCAGTCAGACATAGTGCTGGAGAAATAACTGATAGTTCTACATTCATATCTGTAGGCGCCAGGAAGACATAGAGACTTTGGGCTTTGCAAGGGCTTTTGAAACCCAAAGCCCATCTCTAGTGACACACTTTCTCCAACAAGTGTAGTGGGTAGCTATTCCAGCTTTGACCTGGAAGTTCCAACCCCCATATAGGCTTCGGTAATGGTCACACCTACAAGGTGGGGCTGAGAGAGGACCCCTGAAGACCCAAGATCCAGATGTGCAGGCTCTCTTGGTTCCTGGACCCTGGACGCTGGAGGAAGACTGAGCAGAGTT